GATAAAATAGAAATAAAAAATTCAAAAAAATATTTAAAATCATTTTTGGCATCACATTTTGTTGAATTTTCACAGATTTATTTAAAAATTGGGGTCTGCGTCACAATTTTAGGATTTTTAAAAAAATTTTACTCTTAAACTGTTAAATGCAACTACCTCAACAACTTCAAGCATGGATTTTAAAATCCAAGCTAAACTTTTTTAAAAAGAATTTTTTTTTTCAAATTTTATTACTTTTCATTCCTAAAATTCAATGTTTTTACTGAATGTAACCCTCGTTACATACTTCTAATGCAAATATTTCTTATTCAATGCTTGAGGGTGTTTAGATACTTATTCCAAACATACATGCTAAATTTCAGAAGTTTTTGACCAAAATTTTGACGCACACCCCAATTTATATTATGCGTAATTTATGAAAATTCCATTTTGAGAAAAAAGCATTTAAAGTTCATATTGATATAATACAGTTAAAAAGCATCAATTTTATTTACGCTTTTCTAATTTTAATGAAATATTACAAAACTTACATCATATAAACCAAAATTGAACTTTATAAAGTCAATGTAAATTTATTTTTGCATGCGAATACTTTTAAGCGATAGGAAAAAAACATATCGTTTCAAGCAAAACAACATATGAGACAAGAAGAATGTTTATACAATGATGGAAACCAATCTTGAGGGATAAGTTAGTTTCTCTTAAAATTCACCACCCCCATATGTCTTCCCTTCTTTTTTCTCATATTTTTTATTTTTGTTTATTTTACAAAACTTTTTTGCATTTCGAAGCTTTTTGTGTTCATCACTAGATGTGACCACTTGGATTAGTCTGCGTAGGGACCGAGGGTGTGCGGTATGGGTCCTCGCTAAACTGTTCTACCGTAAAGTGCTCGACTTCGCGTGCAGGTCGTCGGGCTACCGTAGTGGGGGAGTCATCCTCTCTGAAGAGGATCAAAATTGCAACGGCGTGTCTTCGAATCATATTCAGGAATGTTTCTCAGACCGTCGCCAATAGCCCATTGTGCTGCTCTAGTGCGACGTAAATGAACTACAACAACACCTAAGTAATAAAAACGCCATACAAATCCAAAATCAACATAAGTTTTAAAAATTTAGAAAGATAGCCTGGTGATCAGTATGTTTTTTTAATTTATTTTTCATTCGTATGCATGTTTATGCTTGTATGCTAAACTGAATAAAATATATGGGTGCCTGAGGCCCCTTTGACCCATTTTTCTGACCTTGCTCATGGTGTTCCCCACTGGACTGATTGTAAAGACAAGGTTCCCAGTAGAACACCGAAGTCAAGTATCACCTGCGTAGGGACCGAGGGTGCGCGGTATCAGTCCTGGTTAAACTATTAATACCGTAAAGTTCTAGACTACGCGCGAAGGTTGCCGGGCAACCAAAGTGGGGGAGCCATCCCACTGCAGAGGATCATAATCTGCGGATCATCCTCAGGAATGTTTCCCAGACCTTCACCGATAGCCCAGAGTAAAGCTCTAGTACTACGTAAATAAAATTGGTAGGTAGGTATTTTATTTACGTCGCACTAAAGCTCCACAATGGGCTATTGGCAACGGTCTGGGAAACATCCCTGAGGATGATCCGAAGACATACCATCACAATTTTGATCCTCTGCAGAGGGAATGGCTCCCCTGTTCTGGTAGTCCGATTACAAAGAAAGAGGACAGGCTCCACGCATCCTCGGTTCCTAAGCAGACTGATCAAAGTGGTCACCCATCCGCCTACAGACCATAGCCAGTGATGCTTGACTTCGGTGTTCTACTGGGAACCGTGTCTTTACGATCAGTCCAGTGCGAGACACATAAATTAAGTACCTACCTACGGATGAGATGGCGCTTGCTGAAAATTGATCGTATGACAAAATATTTTTCCATAACTCCATGACATTTTTTCTTTCTTGTTTAGTGCGAGTTGCAGAACCATAATATAGGACTGAGAGTGAAATTGGAGATGTGTTCGGGCTCGCTTTTGGAGGTCGAGTCCGCCTGGATGTGTTAACAAGGAAATTAAGACATTAAAATCTTTTTATCACTGTACCAAACATTTGTTAAATTTTATCATCATAGCTGCCAACAGATAGGAAAAAATCTTGTAGACATTTACGAAACATAAATGTTGTGATAATAGTTGCATAATATACCAAATATTTTACATATAGGGAACTTGGGGATTTTGATTGTCATAAAAATACAAAACTTTCTTACACTAATAGTTTATAACCAATACTTTCCGACCGTGAACTTTAATCTATAAATGATTCTTATTACGTTAACTCACAATTTTGAATAGTAATCGATAAGTAATTTGATGGTTAAAAGATTTAATTTGAAAGATGAGTTAAGAATAAAAATAATCCGGAAATTTTGTAACAAAAAAAAAGCTTTAAAATGTACAAAAATCCGGAGAATTTTTATTAAACGAGTAAAATCTAGTGAGTCGGCAGCTACGCATCATGAATCCAAGACCGCCCGAAAGTTCAATAAACGAGCCCGAGTCAGCTATGGTAAGCGGCGGGCATCTCTTCTTTATTTAGAGAAGATAAATTAACCGAACATTGCAAAAGCAGAAAAGATACACCCATACTGACCACAGAAATCGAACTGACAACCTTCACGTTAATGAATGTTTAACGTAAGGACAATACCTTTTGCCTACAGAAGCCCATTCTTCGTAAGTTTTGCAATTGGGTGTTTGCAACAAATCACATGGCGTTACAACTTTAAGGCTTAGATTATTATAACGCTGATTCAATTTCCGAATCTGGTTTAATTGGATATACCTGCAAATGTCAAATCAATAGCGTGAAAAAAATATAGCACAATAGGTTTAAAAAACAACTTATACAAGTGTTTTGTTACGCTCATTCCAATTCTTGACAAAAACGAAGACAAAGAAAGTATACAAATTAGGGATAAATATTTTATTCAGAAAGGAGAGAGGAAAAAAAAAGAGAATGCTTTCGAAATCTGAGAATTTATAGTGAAAGAAAGCGCCAATGCGAAATCCGTTTCATTGCTGGACACAGGAGTTAAAAATCAATTACCAGAAACACTTTCAAGTTTCCAGCAATCAAATTGGTTTGACACGTCCCGTAAATCAACCTTACTTAATTGTGAAGTCATACTTCGATATCATTTATTTTTTTTTTGTATACCTTGCCTAATACATAAATTTGCTGATCGTAATATGCATACTTGTCTTCCTTTTCGATAAGCATTCTAAAAATATACATTCAGGGAGAGGATTACGGAACACTCAAAATTAATAAAAAATCTAAATCCATATTCTATATTTCAACATCCTTAAATTTAATCAATGTTTGAAAATCATGTAGTCGCCATAAAATATTTCCATTCGAACGATTCTGCCGTTAAAAAAATATAATTCAGTTGAAAAATGGTATTCGATTTATTGCTTGTGCGAATAGATAACGGATAAATGATAAAAATTAAAGTAAATGCAGCTTCAAGTTGTACGTATAAAACGGCGAATAGTTTTTTTTTTTAATATTTAGATTAGCCCAACAATGAATTGAAATAAGTTCCTTATCACAATAAAAAAGATATAATAACCAACTAAATATTCAGTCAGAACAATCATACTTTAACTTAATTAGAGCTATAAAAATTATCAGTAAAATATACAAACTGGTAGAGATATTTTCGCGACATTGAACTTCAATCCCATTGATAAAGAACTGACTTTTTGCAGTCCAACTGAACAGATAAGTTTTAAAAAATGGCTACTAACGTTTTATCTGAACTTATTTTATCGCCAAATAACGCATCTACTTTTTCAATCTTGTCTCTTACAAAAGGAATTTTATAATTTTAAATAAACTTCCGCCTTATTTTTTCTTTAAATATCGGATGAAATTTCAACCAATTCAAAACATGTAACTTCATTTATTATTGAAAGATAAAAAAGTTTTTGGAAAAATTACCAACACGGTAATTTAAAGTTTTCATGTAAAGCTGAAATTTTTTTAATTATGTCTGAATGCAGAAAAATATTTAAAAAAAAATCAAACAATTAATAAGTTCAATTTGAAATAAATCATCATAACCATAGAATTCATAATCACGAAAATTTGACAATACAAAATAATTTATCTTCCCAATTTCTTTTTTAAACAAATAAATCTTATGAGTAAAGCTATAATGCCAAATACAAGTATAAAATTATTGAATTATGCAGAATCCAAATTTGAAACTATCAAATGTAATTCACATGCATTTGTAGAAATACAAAATTTCTTGATTTTTTTTTAAAATCAGGACAATTAACATCCAATTTTAAATTATTAACTAGTATTAATCTAGATTGAAAACAATTCTTCTGATCCTTGATTTCTGATCTGATTCTTGATTTGCAAAACTTTTTTCACTAGACATAAAAATCTAGTTTTAAAAACTTACCAAATGGAGATTTTTTTTCTCCAAAAACTGAAAATTAAGTTTCCTTGGTTTGAAAACGATAACGCTGGAAGATAAAAAAAAAAAAATTCACGCTGAATTAAAACGAACTTCCTTTCTATGCCACAACAAGATTCTTTCTAGAACTTCCCACTACACCCAACAAACATAATGAAACAAATGTGTACCAAAACATGCTGATCACTTAAAATGCAAGCCATCTTTAGTTAGTCACAATTTAAAATTACTTTTCTCCGTGAACCAACAAGCACACTATCCAAGCATGAGTTTTTAGTATGAAGAACTAGAAAGTCGTCCACAAATATGTTAGCCTAAAATTAAATGGGAATGGAAGTTTGATGCAACAAGTATTAAATTAAAACCACACTCTTCAATTTTGAAACTTTCCAAATTCCAGCATTGAACTATTTGAAAGAATATTACTAAGTGAAACACAAAAGGAAGCAGTAAAAAGCTCTCCCACTATTTTGGCTAGCACATTTTGAGGACAACTCCAAAACATTACAGAGAGACAATAAATAACAAAAGAGCAAAGTAGTATGAAAATACATTTATTTAAACTGAGTATGAAAATTGGTCAATGTGCAAGGAATGCATGGGATGGAATATTTAAACATAACTTAGCCTTAAAAATAATTTTACCCTAGATAACAGTCAGCTCAAAAGATGAAATTTTTAATTTCATCGTACAAAACAAGCACAAGAGCTCCTCCGGTTCCTCTAAGTACATTAGAGAAGGCACCTTTAAAGAAGGCAGCGCCACCTTCCTGCTTGGCAATCTTGCTCCAACAATCAATTGTACCCTTGTACATAAGATCACCCTTTGCACGTCCACTCTGCATCATCATACGCCTCCTGACTGTGTCAAATGGATAGGAGATGATTCCAGCAACAGTTGTAACTGTTTGAGCGATGGCCCAAGAGATTAAGATTGGTGTGTTCTTAGGGTCTGGCAACATTCCTTTAGCTGTGTCAAAGAATCCAAAGTAAGCAGCTCTGTAGATGATGATGCCTTGGACAGATACATTGAATCCTCTGTACAATCCAGCAAGTCCATCAGATCTGAAAATCTTAGCTAGACAGTTACCCAGTCCATTGAACTCACGTTCAGCGCCAGCCTTACCGATGTCAGCGGCTAGGCGAGTCCTGGCGAAATCGAGGGGGTACACAAAGCAAAGTGAAGTAGCACCAGCAGCACCACCAGAGGCAAGATTACCCAAGAAGTATCGCCCAAATTGTGTCCTCTTGTCAACTCCACCAAGGAAGACCTGTTTGTACTTATCCTTGAAGGCAAAGTTCAGAGCTTGAGTAGGGAAATACCTGATCACATTGGCCAAATTACCTCGCCAGAAACTCAGAAAACCTTGTTCCTTTGGTATTCTAACGAAGCAGTCAACCATACCTAGAATAAAAAGAAATTTCATTTTACAAAACAATTAACTAAGTAATACAAAAAGTAAAATTTAAAAAAATAAAAACTCCTAAATACATAACATGTATAAACAAGTTTTTCACCATTTCATATACTAAAAAAGAAATTGTGAGTGCTGTAACTCAGCTTTGTGGAAAAATCACGTAGTTCACAGTAAACCCAATTTAAAGTTAACATGCACACTGGGGAAATTTAAACCATTCCAAAGCTTATAAAGCATATCTTATTAAAATTATCCCGTGATTATCCTTTTAAAGTAACAGCAAAATATAAAATAGAATTAAAGTTCTAATTCTCTGCCTTGTTATTATATCTTATCTCAAAAGAGTTAGTACCCTTGGCATTCCATTACTTAATTTCATAATATAATTTCTGAATTTATAAATATATATACACCTACCCAATGGCATTACAAAGTTCTTGCAGTAATTTACACATAACATTTGAACATTTAGATAATCACTTTGATGAGCTCAATTTACACCAATAGTATTGTAAACCCATGTAATGTTTAGATTGTATTTGCAACAGTTACTGATATTTATTATCACACTGCTTAAAAATACCCTGACATATTTCAATCTCGAAACGAAACATGCAACGAGGAGTCTGATCTTTTTTTGGACAATTACTACAATGAATTTCAGGATTCTTAATTTTTATATTTTATTGTAATGATTATTTACAAAATGTGAAGGAAATAATTTGTGCGCCCATCCCCAATAAAATGCAAGAATATCACACATAATATTAGAATAAAAAATTATATGTTTTATTGAAGAAAAAAAAAATTATATATGTTTGTTATTATTAAAAGTATCTTGCTGAAAGACATTAGTGCTAGAGATTTGCCACAAGTATTTTATCAAACATGATTGGCGCTTTCATACGCTATGGACAGACTGTACGCCAATTGTGGTTGAATGAATTGTGAAAACGCTGAATAGAACAATGGGTAAAGCATGCTTTTGCATAATATGCGGCAAAAATAGGCATGGTAAAAAAGAAATCTAAATTTCGTGAACATTCGACATAAAATAGTGTAAATAGGAATCACGATGTGATTGTAAGCTATGTGAATGCAATTTTAAATCAAGTTTGTATTAGTAAGAAAAAGACATATTTTTTCACCCAGGAATTAAGACAAACTTTGTTTTGAAGAGGGGCTTTTCTTTTTCAGTAATAGTAAAAAAAATTTGTGAATAGTGTTAACATAGGTATGAAGCCAAGTATAAAAATTAGCCAAGCATTTCATTTCCTTTTATGACAGGAATGTCTCAACCATTTATATTTTTTTAAAGAAAAATAGGCTTTTTATTAAAAAAAATTGTTCCAACTTAATTTACATTAATCCAAGCATCAGATATAAAATTCCATTTCACTGACATTCAAAAGTCTAACATGTTTTTAAAACATCATCAGGCTTGGATCATATAAACACTAAATTCAAAATTAAATCTAGACTAAAAATATAAATGACATTGACTTGCTCTGCAGCAAGTACTATAGTTTAGATATTTAATAAACAAATACTACCAAATATTAAACATCAACAAGAGTAATAAAATCTAATAATCATGCCTGTCTCAGTTTGACTTCTATCTTTAGTTTGGTTAGAGCCATAAAGAATTATAGCCAATTTATTGTTTATCAATCAAACCAATTGTTAATAAAATAAGTATTAAATGATTTTAGACCCATAAGCACTATTACAAAAAAAAGAAATCTATGGAGTAATAAACCAAATTGACTTCGAACATATTAGGTTTTTAATTGTTGCAACTAAGAAACATATTTTATTTAAAACTGATTGTATTTATCAAGAGTTTAACACTAGCGCTGAGCCAATTCTCAGAAAATGCGCTCAGTAAAAATTACTAAAAATGGGGACAAATCAAATTTACTTATAAAATTCATCTTACATCCAACCCAAGTATCAGAACAAAATTTGTTTTCATTAACTTTCAAAAGTCTAACATGTTTGAACATCATTTAAACCTGGTCACGATGTAAGACAGAAGTTAAGAAATTTAAAATGTCCACTCTGGATCTGCTGCCGTCTGGTCAATCAAATGTAAAAATGATAAAAGATAGTTTTATGCATTTTGATAAAATTACATTTCTATCAGATTTCAAATTTTCTATCTATATATAAATTTTTAATTTTCTAAATGTATGCGCAGATTGTTTTACAGCATGTTTTGAATTATTATTCATAAACTACTACAGAGTGCGTATCCAAATCTTTCAACAAAAAATAAGCACCTTTTAAGTACTTTTCAAGCACTCAAAAAAGATTTTTAAGCACTACATACATTAACATGCAAATTAATTTTCAAAGACTTTACATGATCATGATAAAATAGCTAGTTTCTGACAAAGAACTCTTTTCCTGGTTTTATTAGCCATTATAAAATGAGATTTTTCGATTCGATATCAGAGGGGGGAAAATGAAGCCTGAAATTGAGAATATCTTACAAAATGCAGTAGAGTTGCACATGAAAGTGCAATAATCTCACTGAACCCAGCTCAGTAGACGCACATGCGGACCCGCAAGTATTTCATCAAACATGTAAAATGAGTGGCTCTTGCATGCGGTGTGGACTGTCGGTACGCAATTGAATGAATTGAGTGGATGAATGAATTGTGAAAACGTTGACCAGAACAATGTGAAAAGTACGCTTTTGCATTATACGAGGCGAAAATCGAAATAGTAAAGAAAAAAACTCCTTTTCGAAAAGGGAAAATTAAGCACTCTCACCCTGTACTAATTTCTCTCTTATTCAGAATATATACACATAAAATGGTAGCAGATTATTAAATTAGTATTGATCAAATTCAGCTATTACAAGAAATTACATATTGATAAATTTTTACGGTGTAAGCGCCTTTTTCTGCGAGGAAGCACCCTGCCCTTTTTTTAATCCTAGGGAGAACTCTTTTTTGTTATAACTAAATTTGACCCTTTACCCTCTTACACTACTTTATTTTTCAAAAAGTAATTCTCACACATTATCAAAACAAGAGAAAAAATTGTAGTTTATAAAAAATAAATGAAATTATTAATTGATAAACAAATTGAAAGCTTTTTTCTATAATATAAACTGAAAATTATGAAGAAGAAAAATTTAAGCCTTTTTCAGGGGTGATTACGAGCTCAAGTCAAAATTCGGGAAAATTTCTTGCGCAAAAAAAGAAAAAAGTTTCAATCGAAAAAAATTTAAACAAGGTTCTTTCCTTTTTCTCAATATTTCTAAGTTTACTTAAAATATATTTAAATTTTTACACATACCTATGTGGACCTGGAGAAGTAATTGAAATTTAGAAACCTGTCTTTCTTGAGTTTATGATTATAATAACTATTTACTGATAAAAAATGAATATTAATCTTGAATATAAGCTTAAAGTATCTGGCTCTCTCTCTCCCTTACAAATAATATAAACTGTTTTAAGATTTGAAAATTGAAACTTTTAAAACCTCTGATTGAAAAATTAACCTTTGAAAATCTGATTTCCGGAAACTTTTGTAATCAATGATTTTTTGATATGTCTGAACCTTCGATATCCGGTAACTTCCGGATCACGGTTAGCAAAAAATCCGGATTTTTCCGGAGCACAATCAGCCCCGGCCTTTTTTGAAAAAATAAAAATATTTTAATCACTTATAAGAGAACCCAATCCACCTGAAAAAGAAACACAGTTTCAACTTTACAACTAAATTATAGTATGCTTTTAAAGCCTGCCAATTAAATATAAGACTTTTGTAAATGATAGAATTGCACCAACTTGAATTTAAAGGCAGAGAACCATTAATTAAAAAAAAAAAAAGAAAACAGGAAAGTGAACATTTCAATATAGTCGAACTAATTTTTATAGTAATTTCAAAAAAATTTTATAACATGAAGATATTTGCGTAAATTAACATTTGAAATTTTACTCACCATATATACATAAACATATACAAAAACCTTATTTCTAAAATAAAAATGTGAAGTAAATCTGCCAATTTTCAGCAAAATATTATTTTCATAAATAATTTCAATAGTTGAACATGGTTAAACATCATACATCAGCAGATATTTTTCAGTACAAAGACAATGCATGATAATTTTAGGCTAATTGATTTTTGCATGTAATTAAAAAGATACTTTAATAAATATAGCAGCAATAAACCTAATACAGTTAATAAACTAATTTTATAAGAAAATATCATTTTAATATAAAAGGTTTTCATTAAAAATAAAGGGGAAAAAACTCACTATGAGTTTTAAAATAAAATTTAAGGAGTAAATTTTATTTAAAGGAAAAAAACAAAAAAAAAATAGATTTCATACCATATGAGAAAAAAAATTAAAGAAATAACTGTCTTTTCTCAGCTGAATAATATTTTCATTTAGCTCAATAGTTGAACATGGTTTAACATCATTAAAGACAGAAATTTCAGTACAAATTTTAATTAAATAGGAACTATCCATAAAAAATATGTTCACAGAAATTAAAAATTACAGTAACATTATTTAAAGTTTTTTTTGGAAGAGGCAATGCTAAATCTTAAAACCCAATTTAATATACTTCTAGCAAATGCATGAAGGGAAAGCAATGTTATAATTCATCCCTTTGGTGTTAAAATACAGGGTACAGGGTAATTCACAACTTAACAAAATTACTGTTGCAATTGTTTTTTCCAACAATAAATTTAAAGCATTATAATAACATTAATCGAAATGATAGGTATAACCAAAATCATACTCTGCATCTTTATAGTTATAGGTTTTAAATTTAAAAAACAGAGCAAAGAAAAAGTTAAAGCAATAAAAAAGCTATAAAATACAAAAGCAAATAATTTTCTTTTTTCCTGCAGAATTATATTCTAAAGATACTTTTCTTGTTCATCAGAAAGTAAAGGAACAAGAGATTTTTCTGTTCTCATTTCGGAATAAAAAAAATTTGCCTGTGACTGGCTTGATTCAGCTAGAATTTTAAACTGATTAAATAAACAAAATAATTAACAATAAAAATTCTCAAACCACAGAAGTTTATAAGATAATCACTCCAGAAATTATGTTTTTTCGTTCATTTTTTGAAAGATTATAAAATCATCAGATTATAAAAATCACAGTAATATGAATCACGATATTGAATTTTAAGAAGGCGAAAACACAAATCGTGATGCACGACTCTTAAAGCACATGAATACGAATCTCCAACAACTTTTAATCATGTGTATATTACTTGAAATAAATCTTTAAAAAAAAACACTACAGATAGTGACATTAGATGTTAAACTCATTAATATGAAACAAAATACTAATTATAAAAATCATTTAAGTAAGATTCACTATCTACAAATTTTTAAATTACGTGAATAAGATTTAAAATGTGAACTTTTAAATCAGATTTATCTGAATATAGATGTTTGATATCAAATTTTGTGAACATTAATCATGATATTAACAAATACAAGTGATGTCTCAAATATTAATTATGTTGAAACCCAACAATCCTAAAATAAACAAATTGGCCTAATACTAGTCTTGACTCGCAGAGATGATCCTTATTTTCTAGGTTCTTTTATTAAAATAACTACCTTCTTTGATTTTAAGAGTCAAAATAAAAAAAAATAACTAATAATTCCAGATTTTCACTATTCTCTCATTTGCAGGAACGATGCAAGACATTTTCTCCCCAAATCAAGAGTTCAGGAAATCAAATATTCCTTCAGCTAGTATATTATAAAATAAAATTTAAAATTTACAGGCCAACAATTTGAATTCCTGCAAAATCTGACCTAAATTGCATTTTACATCCCATTATATCAGCAAAATATTGGTGGAATTACAATACAATAAAATTATACTACTACTAAAAAAGCATGGTTCTAGTTCTAATTGAAAGAATCATAAGACACAGTAGATCCAAGTACATGCTATACATAGAGAAAAATATTGTTAAGAATTAAGATTATCTTAGTTTAGACACATTAAGAGACACAAGTAGGTCATTAATAGACACAGTCATATTTTTTTTACAAATAACACACCCCTCCCTTCCACAGGCAGGTAAAAAGATACTTTTTGTGCACATTATTAATTCGAAAAAGATTTGGAGGGATAACATTAATAGTTAAAGATGCAAGCATTCAATTAAAAATAATTCTTTTTTTCCGTATCAGCTACTTTGACCTTGAGTACATTCAAATTAGATACCATTCATTTATGTACACGTGTCAATTTAACAGACACATGAATATTCGCATATCATATTAGTGTATATATAACAATTATAAAACATACATATCAATTGCATGCTAATAAAAGATAAAATTTTTAGAACCAAAATAATGATATATCTATAATTTTAACCCCTTTAACAACTTAGGCCTAACTTCGCGGGTTAAACAACCGCAAAAAAGAGGTTAGCTAACAAAAGAATTTTTATGAACGAAAAGTGACCGAAGTTATAAATACAATGCATTAACAGATAAACTTAACACTAAAGAATTAAACCAATATGGCGGAGGTCAAACTAATTAATATAAGTTAAGAAATAGATGTATACCTTTATACTGCATATCAGCAGTAATTTGTTTGGATGCATGTTGTACTTGCAGTAATAATTTTACTCGTTCAATTGGAGCTACAGCTGTTTTTGAAATAGCAGCAGCTACACCACCAGCAACAAAATCTTTAGCAAAAGAAACGGGATCAAACCCTTTGGAAGTAGACATGTTTCTGATAGAATGTTACACGCCGGTGATTCACGTGAAAGAAGGAAAGAGTGAAAGACGCTTAGCCGGTTTTATTTATGTAAACAAACTCGCCAAAAAAGCAACCCTAGATAAAAATATAAAGTTTATAAATATATTTAAATCAATCTTTATGAAACTTAAAGTTAATTTTAAGACTTCAAGTAAGATTAGTAATGAGAGTGAGGATTAATATGCAAAGGATAATTTGCATAATGGGATAAATTCAGTTTTATTCTGAATTATAGTGCTTGTCACATTGGCGATGATTTCACGAAATAAACATTGCCAATGGAATAACATTAAACTATTTTAAAGCTCGATCATCATAAAATTTGTAAGCTGTTCTTGTAAATCAAAATATATTGGTTTGCTTGGCTTTGCAAAAAAATGAAAAAATTGAATTTTTATTAATAAACACATATGCATTTAAAGCAGAGATTAACTTTTGGCAATAAATCTCAAAATCTAGTAACCTGAAATAAAAGTTATCGATGCCATTTTCTTCAACTTAAAAAAGTTTTAAAATACTTGGAAAGACTGGCTGAGGAAAAGGACCATTCACACTGTATGCAAAACATTTCCGGATACGAATTGGAAGGTGCTGCGATGTGACTTTATCTTGGTAAATATGTTTCCCCATCCGAATTCGCGTTTGCGAATTTTTCATGTGCAGAGAAAAGAATTTTATTACCAGTTAAGAATTTTCATTACAAACGATTCTCATATGCGATCGTACGTCAATGAGATTCGTGCATGCGCGTGCAGTTTATCTCATCACATGTAATTTCTAAACATTCGCATGCGCGCTTTTGGGAAGCATTCAACTGCCATGTGAAATGTTTCAGAAACTATTGCATGGCTAGTTTATCTAGAGTTAAATACTCATCTAGAGGTCGGGGGTTCGATTCCCAGCAGTGACAAGGAAGCATTTCGTGCTATCTTTTAATGCACATTTTAAACTTGTTGCTGTTGTTAATTTACGTCGCAATAGAGCTGCACAATGGGCTATTGGCGACGGTCTGGGAAACATCCCGGAGGATGATCCGAAGACATGCCATCACAATTTTGATCCCCGCTTCGGTAGCCCGACGACCTGCGCGCGAAGTCGAGCACTTTACGGCAGCACAGTTTAGCAAGGACCAATACCGCACACCCTCGGTCCCTACGCAGACTGATCCAAGTGGTCACCCAACCACACACTGACCGTAGCCAGTGATGCTTGACTTCGGTGATCTGCTGGGAACCGTGTCTGAACGATCAGTCCACTGCGGGACATTTTAAACTTAAACTTCAAGTATTAAACACTTACTTAAAATTTATTTATATTTTTATTGCCATCTATGATTTGAAAAATGAACTGTTTTAACCTTGCATTAACAATTGCTGTTAATTTTTCAGTTCAATAAAACGAAAAATACATTTAGCAATGACTTATTCTAGTAAAACACCCATATAGTAACCTATTGTGGCTTTATTCTTTATCTATCATATTTTTTAATCTAACCAATCCAGTTTCAACTAATCATTATTTGTAAAACTTTTTTTAAATGAATTTTTGTTACTACTTTGCTTACAATATTTTACATAAATTAATGTAATATAACACCACATGAACTTTAATGTGATATAGGATAGAGTTGAATTTAAGATATTTAAAACAATTATATTTTTGTCTCTGTTAGGCATTTTTAAATTTAAAAAAAAAAAAAAAAATTCCATCATGTATTGTACTTTCTGTTTGACTAAAAATGCAGGTTAATACTTTAAAAAAAAGTAAATAAAATTTATTTTCCTAATCACAAATAATCTGTTTTCAAATAAGAACATAATCTTATTAAAATAAAAAGGTCTTTCCCTAAGCGTGCACTTATAATAACTTGTAGAAAAAGTATAGTTATGATTATTTTGGGAAAGTTATAGTTGCGATTATTTAATCTTTCGTTTCACGATTTCAGAGTTACTTCTCCTTATCGTAAAGGATTTATTTTAAAACTCCTTTTTTCAATATTTTGCAACTTTTTTTTCTCTCAAAAAAGGCAAAATTATTTTAATTGTATAAAAAGTGAGTTTCATATATGATACTCTTTAAAGAAAGAAACGTTAATGTTTCATAATTATTACTAGATTGCAGCATCATTAGGAGCAATTTTTTCAATTTCAAAAAAACATAAGTTTTCAAACCCAAAATGGTAACTCTTCCCCTACTCCTCTTTGGCTAATGGGCTATACTGACAATGGTCTGGGATCATCCTTATTGATGATCAGAAAAAGAAATGGTGCATGTGCGACGTTTCCACATTTTTGAAAGTGGTAGTAATCACCTGGTCTTAAAGCCAAGATGATTACACAATAGTTCAAATAATGCCTCAATTTTGCATCTTCCAAAGAAAAAAAAAAGCAATCGAAAATAAGTTTTTTAAAGGTCAACCATTTCAAGATTTGTCACAGGGACTCTTTTCCCTAGGTATGCTTCTGCTCAGGGTCGGATTAAGCGTATGCGGGGCCCTATTCCATTCAAATTTTTGGGGCCCTTCGATTAAGTTGTTTTTTTCGTATATTTTTTATTTATTCAAATATAAAAGTATTTATATATCTTTTAATTTAAGAAAGCATATCCAAAATAAGAATAAATTAAATTTTACTTAATTTTGTTAAATTAGAAATAAAAAATAATCATAAAATTTTGAAAAAATTAAAATATATATTTGAAATTGATTTAAAAAGAAAATCATTTTCTTAATTTTTTAAAATTTATCTTCAAAAAATCCATTTTATGGGGGACCCTTATCACTACCTCTGCTCCCCAACTGCCTAAATGGGCATGGACTTTTCTGGTTCTGGAATCACAGGGGGAATTACATTACATTGAACAAGAGCATATAGAGATGAAAGTTCCTACACAAAAAATGTAACCTCGTGTTTAAAAGTTTTTTTATTTTCCAGTGCCACAGCTTTCTAAATTATTTGCTTAAAATTTAATATTTGCAAATGTTACTGGGATATTTTTGATTTCCAGGAACACTGCAAGAATTTTAGAAAAAAATCATAAATTCATAATTTTCATTTTTTTAAAAATTGAGATTATTGGGTCTTACCTTTCTGCGAAATAATATAATTTTCAATATCTTTCTTGTCATATCATTATATATCATACAAATTTCAAACTTGACAAAACCAATTCAAGCATGCCATTTCAAATGTGGGGTCATGCCGTTTTGAATCTCAAAAATCCATTTTTTTAAAATTGTATTTTTATTTTATGTATTGCAACATGTAACAAATATTTACTCAAAGTTCTAAGAGAAGAGCGAGGACAATAAAAATTCTCCTTTTTTAGAATCCACATGCCAAGTGCGGAAAATGAAGAGTTTTCTAGTTGTTTTGAAGTCAGTAGACATGATTTCTCAAAACGAATGCAGAGACATGTTGCATACTTTTTCAAGATGGAATTGACTAGAGTTTGAACAAAGGATTTCTTTTCGAGTATAACTTATTATATAGGACACAGTCTAAACCTTACCAAAAATAATTTTTTTGCTCCAATTCTATACGACTTTGCCAAAACAGTTTAACATCCATTTATTTTGAAAAAATTTCATCCTACCGCTAATCAATATTAACTAGAAGATGTATGCAAAATTTTACTAAATTCGATGTTTTAATTTCAAAGAAGTTTTGTCCAATATACTACTAAGGATATCTGTAAATTAGGTTCTGAAAAGATAAAATTTTGACTTAAATTCTATGAAATATTGTTTAATTGTTATATTAATGTTTAGCTAAGCTAAAATTTCTTTTATTATAGCAAAATATTAAAAAGAAGATAATGGCATGCTTTATTGCAAACGAATAATAAAATTTAGTATTTTTAATTTCAGAATTACTTTTTTTTATAACAGAAAGTTTTAACAGTTTCTTGCATAACTTTATTTCTGGAGCACTGAACAACTCATAATAGATTGAGATTATTATATAAAATTTTTAATAGCATTGTTCCAAAAAAAAAAAAAAACCTACATCAATTAGTTACTATTAATTTTAAAACAGAATTAACATGTTGCTCAACAGTTTTGTATACAAGTAGTTTAGTGAATGATCCCATAATTCTCCACTTTAAACCATAACATTTAAAGACACACAAAAATCAGGAAAAAAGCTAAAGATCAGAACAAAATATTTTTTTTTATCAGGAATATTAGGCCAACTACAAACCGTGTAACCTTTAACTTGTAAATTGCTTACCTAGATCCCATTGAAATTTAAAATGAAATAGTATCATATTCAAAAATTAAATCAAATATAATATTTTAATACTATTAAATTAGAATTTATGTAATAGTAATGTAATATAATATATGATATCAAGTCAAGAACATTAAAAATTACTGGGAGTGGCATAACTCATCCGTGTAGCTCAGAAAACTAGGGACACCGCATAAGTATAGGTTATTCTCGTTTGTTGTTGTCGTCTGACAAGTGCAGAAAAGTACAAGTTAAATGGGACCAAAGGCATGGAGCACAGCCCTGGTCACATCTCTGACTTTTTTGGAATAAAGGGTGTCATGGCAGCAGTTGAGGTCGATGTTGAAGAGGGTCGAGGCAACAGAGACACAGCTGAAGAGGTGCCTCGGATCCAGCCGAGCACCCGGGCATATTCTCATTTATTTTTATTTAACCTTTTTCTACACTACTACATGAGAATCATATACCAGTATCCAAAGGGAACTTAAGATTTTCCAATGAAATAACGAAAAACACTTAAGAAAAAAACAATTTATTAACAATAAAAAAACACAAATATTGAAAAATAAATTCTGTAACAAGTTTTCAACAACATACGCAAATAAAATATGTTCACTTTTCTTTTTAGAAAAGCGTTGAAATAGAAAAAAAAATTAAAAAAAAATAAACTTAAAACAATTCTTGAAGGAAATAATTTGTACATAGTGCCACAGAATATAAAAATGTGAGAATATTTGAATGAAAAGGTTCAAAATAAAACATGTCTCATTTTAATATATTTAAACATTTTAATATATGCACACAAATATTTTTATAATTACATGAAGAATAAAAATATTGACTAGTA